TGTCGATATTATAGAAGATCACATCGCGTGTTTACTGGGCAGAAGGATTGTAAAAATGAATTTGTTTTATCGACTTTTTTGTTAATCGCCCAGTAAGCGGCGGTAGCAATCTGCAATCCATAAGCGAGCCTTCAGCACTGTGACACCTATGTGGAATTTATGTGAATTTTCGATTGCTTCCGCCGCTCTGTGTTTACTATGCGGAATTAATAAATGCAAAAAAAAATCAATGAAATGTGGATATTTTTCAATAGGTATTTTTCACCTAAAAGCATACCTTACAATTTTAGCAGCATGTTTAATAAGCATATGTAAAGCAATCAGAAGACTAAACACGATTGTTTTACCATTCTGATCAGTTTGTTAGTCTCTCTATAGTCTATAATCTCTATAGTCTCTATAGATATATATATATATATATATATATATATATATATAGTCTCTATAATCTCTATAGTCTATAATTAAAGTGATGTCGCAAATATTCTTAATGATAAAGCAAACCGCTGATTATTGATGTTATTGAACTAACATGTTTACAATGACACTTTCTTGTTTATAAAAATAATCTTTTAATTTTATATGAGATTCCTCGTTATTGATGTTTGCCTCTCATCCTTACTCCATAATGATTGTGCAGTGTTTTCTGATATAAACTGCACAATTCTTAAAATCCCACTTTTTTAATCTAAACTTTAGTCAGATTTGAAACTGCTTTAAAAATAATCCAAATTGACTGTTATATAAATTTGTATAACTGTACTATACTATTAATACTGTAAGTCTATTTTAGGGCTAAAAGAAAATGTGAAATTGCATTTGAGTAAAATTCACTATATATTTTTAAATAAGCTTTCACGATGATTATAAAATTACCTGTTTTCAAAAAATTCTAAAAGCAGTTCCTAATGATAAATTTTATTAATATAAATATAATATCACATTATTACAAAGTTTTTTGTATAATTTATATAAATAGTCTTTGGTATATGAATAAATAGTGTGTAAATAATATAAAGTTTTAGTGAGTGACAATAACTTATTTTACATAAACCATGCTTGCAAACTTCATTGAATCTTGTGTTGTGGTTTCCGGTTTAGCTTGAATCAGATTTGTGTGCATTAGTGTGTGCTGCATTACACCTAATAGATAACAATAGATTGCTTTAAGAAAAATATGCAAAATGGTATTTTTGTTTAATGATCTGATTAATAATTTACCTATATCTACTTCCATTTCACTTATTTCTTGTTTCATAGCAGATAAAGCTTTTTTAATGTTCATCACAGGAGCTAAAATAATTAAAAGAAAAAAATATTAAACATAAAATAATTACAATAATTTTGTAAATGGCGTAATAAATATATAGTATAATCAGTATTATTACTCCCAAAAAAATAAAATAAAAAGTGTTAAATAATATACCATGAAACATAAAATATAATATGAAACCGATCCAATGCATTCAAAAGGATGTACACCTATATTTCACTAATAAATCATCCTCATTTAATATAAATTTTAATATTTGATATAAATTAAGCAATCTGATAAGATTGTCTAATGAAACAACATTTCACTCATATCAGAATCTGATTGTTATATACTAAAACCCCCATAGCACCAATATTCTTCCTATTCAAAGTAGGAAAAATATTTCTTACTCGTATCATTCATAGAAGATCCTTTTTGTTCTGTTTTGTATTTGATGTCCTCAAGATCAGATGAAAGTTGAGAAAGTTGATTTGTTTGCTCTTGTACTTGTGTAGTAGCAGCTAAAAGTTCACTTTTAGCAGTTGATAACTTATCATGAAGCTGTCTGCAAATAATGAATAGTTATAAATATTCAAACAAAAGATTTGATGCCCCATTTGATAAAGTAATTTTTGTTTGGAAACTCATTTCAAAGAAAAAGAAATTTGTATCTTTCTTATAATTTCTATACAGGTAATCTAAATTACATTCTATCAATATGAATCAATTATTCTTGAAGGATTTACTACTATTATATAGTTGCTATTTAGTTATTTATATTAAGAGTAAGCATGATTTCACTAAATCTAGCCCCTCTTCTCGCCCGAACATTTACATAATATTGTGAAAACATACCTGTATTCATCAACTAGGCCTTGTAAGTTACTATTCAAATACTTTTCTCTACTTTCAATTTTCTCCATTGCTGAAGATATATCAGCATGAAGTTTATTTAGTTGACCCTTAGTCGTACTAAGTCCATCCTTTATTTCTCCCCTATAGGTTTTCATTTGCTCAAGTCTGAATCTCCAGTCTCTTGGGTCCGCCTTGATAACAACTTTCAATTGTGGTAAAACTCTTTCTAATTCAAGTCTCCATGCTTCTGTATCTATACTATAACCAAGACTATTGGGTTCCTCGATGTTTGTCAGACTCATTGCCTCATTACTGCTTTGTTTTTTCAACATTTTTTGCATACTCTGTGATGATGAATTTGTTTGTCCTAAGTCAAATAAATTTTCTTCATCATCTGAATCAGAATAAGCAGTAGCCATTTCTTCTTCAACTCTATCAAGAATGATTTCAGAATCATCTTCAATGGTTTCGGGTTCTAGTTCCGGATCTGCTTGAATTTCAGGCCTTCAAAGTAAGTATATAATCATTTTACAAAAATATGTTTTAATAAATTGCAGATTACATTTTAAAATTTTGTAGTCCAGAAATATATATATATATATATATATATATATATATATATATATATATATATATATATTAGATGGTAGAGTCTTGGATTTGTAAATATTTTGTAGAGCTTTGAACAAAGAATCCAAAATTTTAGATTATATATATATATATATATATATATATATATATATATAATTTTATTCTGAACTGAAAGGTATTATTATTATCTTTTGTTAAGAAATGCTATCAAAAAAATTTGAAAAAATGATTTCAGAAACACTGAACGCTACAATTAGGTTCAGAGAAGAATGGTTATGCCAATTCAGAAAGTCGAGAAAGCAAGAAGAATTTGAACAAGTGCTCTTGTTTGAGGCACCCAGTTGAAATTGAAATAATAAAAAAATTCATAAGTAAATTTTCCTCACTTGCGCCACGAAAAATTGGATATACGCAAAGCTTGATCTGCTAGTTTGTCCAATACTGTAACAGCATGAAAACCAATCCCTTGTTTCAATCTGCTAGGAGGAAAGTCCACAGGTATGCCCTAAAAAGTTGACTATTGAAACTATTGATAAATTTATAGAAGTTACATCAATCAAATGAAATCTTATTACTAGTCTATAAATGACATTCTTACATTACGATTTTAACAAATGTTGCACAATTCATGAATTCACTGCAGAACAATAATGACAACGATTTGAAATAAATTATTATATATACTTACATAATAAGTTAAGTATATATAAATCAAATGCAATCAAAATAAAAATAATTATTTTAAATCTCACCAGAGTTCTAAGAACATCCAAAATACTTGTTATTGTAGAATTAGGATCATCGTACTCTTGTGGCTGTTCAAATCTTTTACCAATTTTTCTTATCAACCAAGCTGCCAAAGAGCTGAACACATAAAATTGTTCTCCTGGATTTGTAGGCACGATAAAATAATGTCTGAAACCACAAACAATACTGTAAATTTAATCATTTTCAGAACTCATACCCTTACCACAATTGCAAATTTTAAATAATAACGATTATAAAATGTAAGATTCTAAAGCAAATTCAGAATTTTTATATAAAAACACCCAATTATTATTATATTATTAATTGGTATTGAAAATTTAAATATTTTTATTGCTATTGAATATATATTTTGGGGGTAAACAATCAAGTGGCTATTCTATCAAAGAAGTGCTATCGTTTGAAAAGAAGTGCAATAAAGCACTGCACGTCAGTTTTTTTTAAATTATAATTAAAACAATTACGATCACATTTTAAATTAAATCTTGTATCAAATCATATATTGGAATATTAATAACACATATTAATAATGTTAACCAAAAACTATTTCTGGAACATTTATAATAATGTAAGTATATGAAAATACACAGTATAATGTGAAGCCAAAATTAGAGTTTCTTGATTCTATGAGCAAATCAATAAATCAGTACTTTAATTTACAATCTTTGTCTGTAAATTAATTGTTTCTAGTATAGGTATAACATAAACAATAAATATAATGTATTTAACATCATCCACATTAAATATACCTATTAAGAGGTTTCATATTCAATTTTTTCAAGAAATCATTTTCATAATTTAACAATTTCAACTTTTCCATAAGATCTTCCATGCAAACAATTGCAATAGCTTCATTTGGAATGTCATTTTCTAAAATTACTTTAGGTTCTGGCCGAAACATTTTATTTTAAATAATTTTCAAGTGGCATAAGTAAATGTAATTGCACTTATTTATTATTAAGGCTTTTGACACACGACATCGGGCAAATTTATTGTTACTTTGGTTACTGTTGTGTATAGACTAGGGTTACAATTAGATTACGACATTTGACATATGGCATATGACTGAGTGGAGTGCATCCATGACGGTGGATTGTTGTTGTTTGATTTGATTTGATAACACAAAAGTGGTACATTCCATCGTGCTTTAAGGCAAATTAATATATTAGCATAGAGCTAATATTAATATTTAACTTGTTTTTACGAAATATTCATTAGTTAGTGATTCAGACAACTGCAGACAATACCCTCAAATTACTTTTTCTTATGCGACATTTAAATTTGCCGCCAACTATTTCATGTTTCAGAAATGTCAAATTAATCAACTACCTTCACGGCGCATTATTTTGAAGCATAAATAGATGCGGATAGATGTCAACAATTTCTGAAGTGAATAAACAGATAATATATATGGATATAAATATAAATACATAAATAATATTATATTAGTAACTTAATTAAATCATAAATATAAGAATAATATGTAAAATATGTGTAAATATGCTAGTTTTTTTTAATAAAATCTAAGTTATATTCATAAACGAAGTTATTTAAAATAAGTTTATATAAGTAGTTACCCAATATAATAAAAATGATTTCTGAACCTTTGATGTTTACATTTTCTTTAGTGGAAACTGGAGCTGTTTTGTTTCTATTTGTCTACTTTGTATCCTTTTAATTTCTAGACGATGTATTTACACAAATATTTCAGGTCTTGTCACATAACCTTAATTTTTTATTATCAAACAACTTTAAATATGATTCCTTTACTATATATCATAAGGTAATTACTCTATCTGATCTAGAATGTGATTATTTGAACGCACAAGAATGCTGTTCCAAATTAAATGCTTGGGTGATGCCAAAATTAATAGCACACTGTTTTTTATCATTTATTCTGATACTAAATGGACAATGGTGGCTGATGATATTCAATGTACCATTAATATGCTGGATGGTATATGAATTTATTAAAGTACCGAAAGGAAATCTTGGAGTTTATGATCCTACAGAGATACATAATCGAGGCCAATTAAAGAAGCACATGCGAGATTGCATGATAAATCTCGGCTACCATTTGATATTATTTTTTATATACTTGTACTGGTAAATATATTGTATTTATTCATTGAGAACCACCTCATTTTTCTCAAAAGATAATAGTGCATGAAATTCATATATCGGTATAATAAGACTTGTCTTGCATTAAATTTAAATCAGTACTCAGAAAATATTATGTTTAGACTTAATTTTAATAAATAAACTTATATTATTTTCAGTATGATCATATCACTTCTAAAAGGAGACCCAATTCGAAGGCACGAAGAAGAAGAAATTGTTTCAGAGTTTTAAAAATGTATTTTTGCAATGTGAGTTATTAAAAAAAAGTTTTACTTATATTTTTATTTAAAAACGCTTATTGATATTTTTGAACAATAATGCTTTAAAAAGTGTTAGTAATATACTAATTGTGCATATTGACTGATTCTACTATAGGTTAAATATTATAAAGCTAATAATGACAAATATATTTTATATTAATATATTTAACTTCTTTTCATTGAATTGTTTTGAGTTAAAAATATATTTTTATCAACATTTATTTTTATTATATTAGGTACTAAGTTAGTAACCCTGCTGTATGAACTATGTATTACAATCAAAAGCAAAATAGCCAAATCTTCAAACTATGACATGGTTTGCCTAATTTTTCATTCAATACAAAACTCGCATGTAAAGCAAAACGTGAATACAAAACTCATGCGTCAATAAAAGAAAATTGTCACATCTGTCATTAGAATAAGAATTGGATTTTAAATATTAAATTTTAATAATCTAATCTATCTAGCAAAGTGTAAGTTTCCAAAATTATAAACATGCAATATAACATTTTCTAATATCAAATAACTATATCAAAATGAATGTACTTATTAAATGTACTTATAAATAAGATAAAGATGATAAGAATCTATTATAAATGTATAGAAATTATAGAACAGTCAATTGAAAACAAGGTCAAAATTTAATAATAAGGCAAATTGTTAGAATCTCTATAGTTATATAAACAAACATAATAAGAAAAATTAGTAATTAAACATGTAAAAATTATAAAAACTGAAAGCTTCTAAATTTCAACAATACCATTTTATTGAATATTTTGAATGTTTATGATATAGTGACTTTTTTGTAAAAAGTAAGTTTTATGTACAATTAAAATTATTAACTATATTACCAAAATTTTTAATTAATTAATTAAATATTTAATGCGAGTTGTAAAGATATTTGCATTTCGACACAGACTCTGAATTAAATATATTCTTTAAACTTCCTAACAGAAATTGTTAGTTTAAAGTATAGAAAAGGATTTTGTAAATGTTCAATAATGGTACTAATTTATTAAAATCTTTTAACAATACGATAAATTGCCATTTTGATAAATTTAAGTTTTTGAAATCGAAATCCAGCAAGTAAATAATTATATTATAGTATTCAGTTTTGCTTAGTTCTCTCAAAAACAGCAATTTTTTGCACATTTAGCTCTGTATCTCTGAAACGGCTGAACCTGCCTGAAGTGCTGAATCACCACTTCTCCCCCTGATTATGAATTGAATGTTTTTTAGATCATTTAAATCGGATGCTCCGTTCTCTCAAAAACTCGATTTGTATTTTCTGCAATCTTTGCTCTTTATTTCCGTAACGGCTGGACCTGACTTTGCCAAAAATTAATCAGCACATCTCCCTATCAATAGGAATCGAATGTTTTTTTTATCCATTCAAATCGGTTGATCCGTGCGCCCGAAAACGTGGACCAAAAAATGCAGACATACAAAACACATACACACACATCCATTTTTTCTGAGGTAAGCCAAAATGTTCAGAAACCTTCAAAACGTCGAGAAATGCAAACATTTTCATTTTCGATTTTCGGCCCATTAATAAAGTAAAGTTGAAGTAAATTCAACAAATATTTTTGGTATTAATGAATTTCTTTAATAATTCGAATTATGTGACTTTCAAGTTTCAGCGGCCCATACTTTCGCACTACGATTCGCACTTTTGTGTATGAAAATGTTATTTCAGGTTGAAAAGCCTAGGTTTAAGCAAAGGTTATGAATATTGAATATAAACCAATATTGAAATATTTGTTGTCTTGACCATGTTTTAGATTTATTTCTCATCTCACGAAAAAGGCCATATTTTTTCAGGAAGCGCGATTGCTTTGAAATAAATTTCAAACTTTTCAAAAGATTCCAAAATTTAGAAATAAATTTCAAAATATAAAAGAATCGATTTTTTTAAAAGTCAATTAAAATAAAACTATTTTTTTCAATGTTTTCAAAAAATTTTAAAGCTCTTTTAAATAAAATAATTTTTGGTACGAAAAGTCCTAGCAATTTGCCTTAAGGCACGATGCCTTGCACTACTAGTTAACTTCCCGTAGGGTAAGCTATAGTAATCGCAAAACAATCGACAATGAAATTTTTTATATATCTTCACGTTTCAGAGGTTTCTGAACATTTTGGCATACCTTAAAAAAATGGATATATGTGTGTGTGTGCGGATACAAATTTTCGTCAACGATTTCGGGAACCCAAATTAACCGATTGGAAACATTAGATTCGTATTGATAAGGAGACGTGCTGATTAGTTTTTGGCAAAGGCTGGTTTAGCCATTCCGAAAATACGGGTCAAAAAGTGCCAAAAATGGTAACTCAGTTTTTGAGAGAACGGAGCGTCCGATTTTAATAATTCAAAAAAATGACAATATGAAGAACTGATTAGATTTTTGGGAAGGCAGGTCTAGCGGTTATAGACTCTCAATAAAAATAAGTTTAAAAAAAAGTCCTTTGGCGATCAAAAATGTTCATTGAACATATTTACATCAAATTATCAGATATTTTATAGAGATTTTAATAATAATTACACATTCTGTGTAATTTTTTTTGGGTTCCGTACCAAAATTTTGAATTACGGTACGGGACGTTCCAGCAATTTGCCTTAAGGCACGATGCCATGCACCACACTAGTTTTTATTAAATATTCAACAAAAAATGCTAATATTAAATTAATGTAAATTGTGGCAGAACTGTATGAATCTTATCTGCCTAAGACAAAATTCAAATTAAATACGATTTTAACTATTTTACAAAATTTATAGTTAATATCAGCGATTTCAGCACAGGGCAATTAGTGTGTTAACTGTAATTAATTAGAATCTGATAATACTTAAACTATTGCGAATTATTAATAAAAATTTAGTGTTGACTGTAAAATGAGTTTGTTATCATCGTTCGAAGTTGGCGCTCAGGATGTCTTCTAGTATCCATATCCAGAGCTGCGCGTGCTCCCTATCAGCTGATCACGGGCCTGCGTGGTCGCGCGAACGGATCGTAAAAATCAAAATGGATTCGCCTGGGTTCTGGGCTCGCTACACAAACCAGTCGCAGCGCTAATGCGAACGTGAATGCGTCGGCTCTTTAACCGATACGTCCTGTTGACGGATTCATCATCAGTTTTGTATTGAATTACTGTCAAAGACATATACATAACGCATCGGATACTGTTATAGAAACAACGTGTGTCTTTCATCAGACCGTTTGGTTTAAAACATCCTTGTCGTTCATACAGAAAATCTGATAATTTATCATTTCAAATCTTGTTGCTTCGTATAGTATGTAATGTGTGACAATTAGATAGTCGCTATGAATTAAAATCTGTGCTCGGTGACTCTCGCTGTCAGTTACACGTGTGTTTATGTTTGTGACACGATGGATTAAAAAGTGAAGTTTCCAGTTATGGCAAGTGGCACGGGCGGCACCTCGACCGGGGCCGTTGTTTCATCGGGGAATGCCGTCCAATTGAAGCCAGTCGAAGTGTCAAAGGCTCTTCAGGAAGGCGAAAAATTCATAAAATGGGACGAGGTAGGATTTTATCATGTGATAAACTTTTGTTATTATAAAATTATATTGTATTCACGCTAAATGTGGAACCACATGAGATCGAAATCATACCTTATTCAGGATTTATACATTTTGGGTATTTATATGCATATTAATTTAAATTCCAATTTGCTGATATGGAATTTATATACTATGCAATATTCATTGTTGTAATCTTGTAAGACAAATGCTAATTTTTAAATTTTGAATCTAAATTTGTTAAAGTTTTCATTTATTCAGTATTTTTATGAGTGGGTATTTTCTAATATATATTTTAAATTATAAACTACTCAAAATTTGAATAAAAAGCTTTTTGGTTGAAGGAATCTTGAAGTGAATGAATGAATGAATGAATAATATCTGAAAATAATCCTCGAATGATAACTATTTATATATTTATAAAATTTATATACTATGCGCATTGTACTCTTGTAATGCGAAGATTTAACACTTTCGGGACGGCACCGATTTCAAAACACTCTACTTTACCGGCTGTAAACTTGATTTCATTGTGTATGTTATGCAATTTGTTTGATAAAAATTTGTGGTCATTGAAGGACATACATTTTTAATATTAATTTATTTTTGATCATTTTATAAAGAATGGTGACGTTCAAAACAATTTCTAAAATGCATAGCTAGTTGATTTTGACATGTTTTACAATAACATGTTGTTCGCCGCCTTCCTCCCTTATCCAATACAATCCCTTTTTCTTTTAGAATTTAGAATATGCCACTGATTAGTCAGTATATTTGGTCATTTTTTGCTGCCATAATGGTTTATTTTTTGTATTATATTATCTAATAATTCATTTGTAAAATATAAAGTAAAATAATCTATTGGATGTCTTATATCGTTTGGTATTTGTAGTCGGGGTGTTTGTTGATGTATGTCAAACTCGATTATTGAAGGAGAATCGGCACATTCGCTAATGCCTTTCCACTCATATAAATTGTCCAACTTCTTCTTTTTGTTGGTTGGATAATATCATCATCACATTCATCACTATCATCGGTGCGAATAGTAATTTCGTAAAATTTGCCTGTATGAATGTCTATTTAAAACTCATCTTCACTACTGCTTAAATCACAAAATTTACCAGTCGTTTTGCCATATTTAAAAGCGCTCGGTCGTTTTAAATATTAAAAAAAGACCATATAGCAAAGAAAAAGGCTAAACGTACTACTAAAATAATTAAAAATTATTTTCAAAATACAATACTGTTTATCACTGCTATATGTAATTTATTCAACTTTTCGATGCAAACTGAGTCATTGTTTATAAAATAGCCTGTGCCTCACAGAGTATGTTTGTCCACTGAGGTGGGCAGCCGTCCCCAAAGTGTTAAATGTTTGATCTAAATTTGTTAAAGGTTTTAATTATACTGTATTTTTAGTTTTTATTTTCAACTTCTATGTTACTGAATTTGTTAGAGTAGGTATTTTCTTTTATATATTTAAATAATATATATTTTAAACTAGTTGGTTTGGTATTTAGCCTTGAGGCAAATTACATAAACTTCCCGATATGTGTAAATAATCGACTTGATCAAAAAAATGTGTAAATAATATACTTCATTAATCCTACTTTTAAAAAAAACGATAATAATTTTAGCAAAGTTTGACGAATTTTTAAAATTAAACTACTTGTTGTAAGGCCGTAATATTACAGTAAGTTCTATAAGACCATGATGTATATCGCCAAAAAAAATTCCATGAAAATCGGCTTAAATTTTTTTTTCAACAGTTAATTACAAGAAAACGGCTCGGTAGATTTTCACCTAAAATTAATCAGCATCATTCCCAAATGATATCTTTCGAACAGTATTTGATTTTTCAAAATCGGTTCGGTAGGATAAGCTTAAATGTGGACGAAAATTTAACACTTTTTTTCAACAGTTAATTACAAGAAAACGGCTCGGTAGATTTTCACCTAAAATTAATCAGCATCATTCCCAAATGATATCTTTCGAACAGTTTTTGATTTTTCAAAATCGGTTCGGTAGGATGAGCTTAAATGTGGACGAAAATTTAACACTTTTTTTCAACAGTTAATTACAAGAAAACGGCTCGGTAGATTTTCACCTAAAATTAATCAGCATCATTCCCAACTAATATCTTTCGAACAGTTTTTGATTTTTTAAAATCGGTTCGGTAGGATGAGCTTAAATGTGGACGAAAAGTTTAACACTTTTTTTCAAATTACAAAGAAACGGCTTGGCAGATCGTCGCACAAAACTGACAAACGATAGTCCTCACCGAAATATATCAAATGGCTTTTAAATTTCTAAAATCGGTTCAGGCGTTTTTGAGAAAACGTCGATCAAAAGTCTAATTTTGACAAATGCCAAAAAGACCATACTGATTTTTGCAAACTTTGACGAATTTTTAAAGCTGAACCAGTTGTCGTAGGACCGTAATATTTTAGTATGACCTAGAAAACTATGGTATCTATCGTCAAAAAAATAATCATAAAAATCGTCAAAATTTTTTTTTTAAAAACTTTATTACAAGAAAACGGCCCGGCCGATCTTTACCAAAAACTAATCAGCACGATTCCCAACCAATATCTATCGAACGGTTTTTGAATTTTCAGAATCGATTCAGAATTGCGGGCTAAAACGTGGACGAAAAATTTTTCACTTTTCTGCAATTTACAAAGAAACGGCCCGGCCGATCGCCGCACAAAACTCAGAGACGATAGTCCTCATCGAGATACATCAAATGGCTTTTAAATTTTTGAAATCGGTCCAACCGTTTTGGAGAAAACGTCGATTCACGGCAAAAAATCTGTTCACACACACACACACACACATACACACACACACACACACATACTTTTTCCAAATTTGGTCTCATTCGATTCAGAATGGCTCAAAACGTCGAGAAAACATAAAATTAGCGATTCGGATTTTTTGATGAAAACATAAACTCCTTCGGGAAGTTAATAATAAACTACTTAAAATTTGAATAAAAAGGTTTTGATTGAAGGAATCTTGAAGTGAATGAATGAATGAATGAATAATATCTGAAAATAATCTTTGAATGATAACTATTTATATAAATAGAAAATTTATATACTATTATACATTGTACTCTTGTAATGCGAAATTATAAATTTGTTAAAGGTTTAAATTCTACAGTATTTTTATTAGTTTGTTATTTTCCCACTTTCATTGCATTTAATGGGAGAGTCGGTATTTTCTAATATATTTCAAATAATATATATATTTAAAATAATAAAATAATTAAATTTTGAATAATATGCTTTGATTTGAGGAATCTTGAAGTGAATGAATGATTGAATGACTATCTGAAAATAATCTTCGAAAAATATTTGTTTAATTAGTTATTTTTATACGTTTTTCCTCTTTTTGGATTTCTTTTGGAATGTGTATTAAAAATGTTCTCATTGTCAGACATGCATCCAATAATAGGGAAAAAAATTAATTTAGAAAAATTGCTTTATCAAAACTGCAAACGTTTCGAGTTTGGATTTGACTCATCTACAATACATACAAATATTTCAAAACAAAGCTGTTCATGGAATTGTGCCTTGCACAACCACAGTAGAGTAATAAAAATAACAAATTATCAATAATTTGTTTTAGAGTGAAATACCAAAGCGTGTAAGCGCCGCGTCGTAGAGTAATAGTTAAACATTATAAATATTGGCACAGATTACATAGAAATGTAAACAAGATTTGTACTTGTTAGTGAAATCTCTGTAAAATATTATCTGATAATTTGATGTACATATGTCTAATTTAAAATGATTGAAAGCTCAGAAAAAAATTACATTTTTAAAATTTTCTTTTTTTAAGATTTTTGAAGACATTTGAAAAATTTGAATATTGAAATAATGTCTTAATTGAAAATATGTATATATATTTAAAACAAAGAATTTTTTTGGAAACTTGGAAATGTTTTAAAAATTCAAATTCATTTTTTTTTAATTATGAAAATTTTGATACTTCTTGAAAGTTTTTTACACCCATACATGTCGGTTGATTCATATTGTCGAAAATATCTGATTTTCGATCGCCAAATGTCATTTTTTTTACTTTTTTTCTGGATCTCCGAAACCGCTGGACATGTCTTTGCATAATCAATTCTTCACAAGTGTAATGTTTTTTGATTAATCGAAATGCTTGTTGAATAAGTCAAATCGGTTGAGCGGTGCTCCAAAAAACGTGGACGAAAAATTGTATCCACACACACGCACACACAGCCAGAATGTTCAAAAACCTTCGAAATGTAAAGGTATGCAAAAATGTTCATTTTCGATTTTTGGACGACATAATAACATAATAAACGAACACCGTGGACCCAATATGCTTTTTGAATCACTCTAATCGGATGCGCCGTTATTTTAAAAACTGTTTTGTCCCCTTTTTTGCTCCGTATCTCCGAAACCGCTGGACTTGCTTTTGCAGAAATGTAATCAAATATTATCTCAATCAATACGAATCGAATTTGAATTTGAATTAATCTAATCGGATGTGCCGTTCTCTCAAAAATTAGTTATTTCTAGTTAGTTGATAAATTAAAAATCACAATTCAATATAAAAACGTAGTTATGGAACTATTTTTTCAGTTTTACTTCACAATTGTGAAAAAGTCCCTACTTGTTTGAATGTTAGGATACAAATCACTGGTTTCACATTGTAGATAAATCAAATACAGAACCGAAACGTTTACACTTTTGAAAAAGTAATTTTTCTTCAATGATTTTTTCCTCCTTTTATTAAATGGATCCTAAGAACTGTTTTTCATATATCTTATATATAAAATTTTTCTGTATAGAATGGAAACTACTCCTAAACGATTATTCGAATTTTGATAAATCTTTTTGAAGTTTGTTAAGGGAAATTTTATATAGTAATATTGTAGAAATAAATGGAAAAAATTGTTTGACATTGAAAACATTTTGACAGAACTGTCACTTGCCAGAAATATCCACTTTAAATTTGATTTGGATA